CCATTATTATTATAGTAGCATTAAAAGGAAGACAAATGTATCCAGAAATGAAAAGTTAGATTTTACATAACAATAATGATAAGGTTTATATTGTCGAGAACACACTTCCGATTATAAAGCTTTTCCGAATTCATTCATTTTCTGGAAGATTGTGCAGGGATTAACAATCCACAGAGAATGCCTGAAGAGGGAAATATAAGTTTGGAAGAATTGAGCGGCTCGTATTTAAAAACTTGGCTGATACTTCTCCCACCACTTTGTATTTATATGTTTACGGCGAACATTCGCACGATTAATAATTGGATGATATATAAACTTGTTCTATAATAATAATGACTCTTTGACAGTGTGTCAATCATGCGTGATGCTTCGTATACAGTGTATCGAAATTGTTAATTTTTAGAGATAGTAAAAAAGCATAATTAGACAGGAATATAACGACAGAAAATAATTTGATTAAGGACTCTTTAGTCTAATGCTAGCTGATAGTTGCTCATTAAGAAAATCGAAATACAGATGACTGTGTTGAGCTAAAAATGGCTGATGTGGTTGAAAGATCAACGATCACGCTTTTCCCCAGTGTAACATGTGAAGATAACATTAGACCAGACCATTCCCTATGTTTACATGGCTGATTACACAGTATTTACTCACAAGGAACAAGAAGGAAAGCTTGTTCATAATGGAAGTAAAGTCTCCGCAAGAATTGATTTGGTTCACGTTCTCATGGGAAAGAAAAAACTTGGAATATAATGTTTATATTTTCTCTTTATGAAGTAGAGGTACACTTGTGCTGACATTGGAGTAATTGATAAGACTATGGGATCTTATCTAAGATAATTACCGTAAACCACCGTGAATAAGGGCCTCTCATATGAAAAAATTGCTATCGTGATAAGGGCCGAATGTTATGAAACAGCTGGCCCCTTATCAACAATCGACGTCATATATTACTTTATTTATATGAAATATAGTTCGTGATTATGTTATAAATAGAGATATTGTTACGTGACGATTCGTAGATCATTTTGAACATCTCTCCCCCTTATATGAAGGGGCCCTTATTCACGAGAGGATACGGTACTTATTAATAGGGAGAGAAGGCTAATATAAGAAGACTTGAGCAAAAATGTTGTAGTAAAGAATATAAGCAACGAATTGATATCAAAGAGAACTCGAGTTCAAAAAATTGCGAAAGTTTGTATTGTCTTCAAGGGATGTAGTTGAAAGCGACCAATTAACGCATATCAAGCGGAATTACCGATGTTCTTTTGCAGGAAATTAAGCTGAATACACTTCAAAGAGTTTCCAGGGGATCGGTTGTTCGCTCTCCGTTGCCAAAAGATATTCCAAGAGTTAGTTATGGTAAAATTTCACGTCCAAATTGTGTACATCAATGCGATCTTTTGCATCTTACCAATGACAAAGTACGTAAAAAGATATTCTTGATGTTGTAGACGTCTCAAGTAGATACAAACATTTTATACCTCTAAACGTCAAAAAATAATTCGAAAATTGCAAGAGCATTTAGAAAAATCTATGACGACCCAAATATTTCTCTTCCTGGCTCGAGTTATTACAATGCGATGGAGGCAGAGAGTTTATGGGCAAACTTTCAGATCAATGCGAGATATAATTTTACAATTCGAGTAATTGGCCTCTATAGTCATCGAGGACTAGCAATAGTAGAACGATTTAATAAGACACTTGCAAATTTTGCTAACGCTGAATGGGAAAGTGGTATGGAAAATCAGAAACATGCAACTGATCCAATATGGACTCTGACATTATTTACAATCCGAAAAATTGTTCTCTCTGAAAAACCAGTTTTATACTACTTAGATGGAGAATATGTTCCATCGCGTAGATTTGTGAGGGAAGAGTTCATGCATGTCGACCCAGATAAAATCCAATATCCTCCCCAATGTATATTAACAGTCGGTTAGTTCATATAACGTGAGTTTAATTGGGCAGGAGGAATATGCTAAAAAGCATGGAGGGAGTGTCTTAGCAAAAACTGGTAGAATAAATGGCTACAATGTTTTCCTTTGGTCCTGTGAAAATGGCGCACATATCCACTGAAATTAATTAAAAAAGTTTGAATAGTGCCCAATTTTTGCCCGCATTTTACCGATGAGTAGATATATTTTCAAAGATTTGATGTTCGTTTATCAGAGTACAAGAATCCAGAGAGATTTAATAGACTCAACTCGACACCCCAATGGGCTTTCAATTTATTGGTCAGTGGACGAACTAAATCAGGAAAAACAAATATGATTGTCAATCTTTTACTTGGAAATAATGTTTAACGGAAAAAAAGAATGACAAATTGATTTTGATTGGACACCATCTTAAGAAGCCGAAATATAAACATTCGAGAGATTGTTACAAAATCACTGCAAATAGTCCAAAGCCATATCGCGAAAATGTTATGTTCCGATCGATGAAACCTGACAAAATACCGAAAAGGGGACGGTTGTTATATTCGAAGATCTGTAAAAAGATTCAAGAAAAAATTGTCCCTTATTTTACTGAGGAATATCAGTTTAATCTACGTGCAAAGCTTTTTCGAATGTCAAGAAAAAAACTGGATTACATTGTACTATTTAGCGGAGCTGGTACATATGATAAATTAGTGATATTATACAAAAAATGGCGTAATGCTGTTAACATAATCGATAAAAATTTGCAAGGCCGGCAGTCTATTGTAATTGACTTGACTAGAGCGAAAGAAGATCCTCTCTATGTTTGTTTGGGTTGGGACACGCCCTTAGAACTAGATAAATAAACTAAAATTTATAGATGGGAGTATTCCTCGATTACACACAAAGCGCGTACTCTGTCAAATTTTGTAAAACTGAATCGGTTTCACTTGCTTACCAAAAAAAGTATTGAGTAAATTCGAAGTATTACTGTGGTATTCTGAAATTACTCAAGTAAGAGTATCTGAGATTGTTGCTGACGCATTTCTTCGCAAACGGTCCATAAAAGTTTGTAATTCTCAGCTAACTACTTGAAAATCAAACCATTGGATAAGGAGACACGCTCGCATCTTTTTCTTGCTCGTTTAAGTCTTCTAATAGCAGTTAACATCCATAACTCATAATAATGCAATGCATGACTATCGTCGAATGTACGATCGGATTCAATTTTTCGAAAAGTCTTCATACTTTAATTCACAGTATTTATTACCGATACATGAAGTTTCCAATGATCTTTTGTGTAAATTAATTGGTTGAAGACAAACAGATGGCTATTCCTATCGTAGAAGAATATGAATTACCATCTGGAAATCGTACCAATTTTTTGCGTTAAAATACTTTTTACTCTCAGTAGGCAAAAAATCATTTTCTTTGAAACAGTGCAAGCGAGACCAAATTCGTTCTTTCCACTCTCCAGGAGTTTTGCCAATACAAACTCGTGGTATATTGCAATATGCGGACCATTCAATATCACTGCATTTGGAACCACGTAAATCCTGAATAGAAACCATTTACAAGACCTATGGATTTGTATAAACATGGATTTACAGGTAAATTAGCAGAATATGCTGCTAAAAAATGTAAATCGAACAGAATAATCCCCGAAATGTAAGAACGAATTAATTCGATCAACTTTCTTAAATACATTATAAGGTAAGTACTGGCCTTCTTAGGCCAAAATTAAGTAATCGAGAGACCGACTTATCGAGTTCAACATTAAAAGTTTATTATTACGATATAATCATTTCCTTTTTTAGGGTAGTACAATCAGACATATAGTACAGCTTTAGGTGATAAAATTTTTAGGCCTATTCATTTCATGTTCCCATTTTTTTGTTCCCAATTTTCCCTTACTTTGTTCCTGTAAACTGACTGCCAACCACATTTTTTAGCTTAAATTCGAAGAGCGAAAAAAAAAAGAAAAAAGAAAGAAAGAATATCGTCATGTCCATGAACAAGTCTCTGCTACTACTTCAACAAGCACTTATTTTCAGTCCCTTCACTTGGGATGTTTTCTGTAGGAGTTGACATTGACATTATCAAATACGTGATGTCGTCGATACGCATAAAAAACTCATACATAAGCGTATGGAACGCATAAAACGGACATAAAGCGAACCAATATGCGCTTTTTGTACAATTTTTTTTATGTTATGTGTTATATGTTTTTTATACGTACTTTGCGAGTGCAGATACATGCTAATTGTAGGTTGCGACGAATATATTTCGCAGATCGAATATATGCGGAAGATGAATTACCGATTCTTTTTTATTTATTTTTTTCCATGCGGACACGTCCCACTTTTCATTACCTAAATTAGAAATACAACCCAAATTTGGAAGGTGAAAAAAAAAACGGAATTTACTAATACGGGCTTTCTTAATGGACTACACACAAGCGCTCAGAGAAAAGTTATTTGTCACTCATTCTATAATTCTCTACTACTCTGGCTCTAAGTTGATCAGCGCGATTAGTTGACATTGCGTTACTTGCTGTTCGTTAGTCTTCTTAGAGGGTAAAAGTGGGGTGGCTTTTCTTACGTGAAAATGGTGAACGCGAACAATGAATGCCACAGCGGAAAAAGCGAGCAGCCAAAACAATCCGAAGGATAACTAGCGCTTCGATAACTCTTATAACCAGTTTGTCGTCAATATTGGACAAATTCATACAACTGAATGAACGGTGCTCCACATTAGTCGTTTGTCTGGCATTTAATGCAGAGAAGAAAAGAAAGCTACGTGGATATATTCAAGTACCAGTGATTGTAAACCTATTATCACTACTGTGCATCACATAATCCGTGGGTATTTTTAGACTATACAGGTCTGATGAAAAAAAATCGTCCACTCGAAGTAATCTGCGATTGAGATGATTGCTTACAGCCAGTTAAACCAAGGCGTAACGCACGCAAAAACGACCGAATAACGCCGCGCATTATTCCATTATCTGGGAAGATCTAATATAAATACGATGCGCTCGGTTTGGTTTACACGACATACATCTTGTATTACTTCATAATGGACGTAGAAAAAGGCCATGCTCACGTAGTCACGAAGACCATAAATGATATTTACAATCTTCCCCAAGAAAAACCACTTACTGCAGATGAGAAATCCTATCCAGTCCTTAATGCGATACTGACTCTTCCTTCAGTCAACTCAAGAAGTGAACCTGATGCTCTGCCAGTTCTTGCAGCTGAATTTATAGTAACAGATCTTTCAGCCAGACACCTTGCATTTTGCCTACAGATTATCGACTAAAGGAGTATGAGATATTTGGGTCAAACGTTATACCTTTCATCCCTTTCCTCGATGCCGACAATTTCAGACACGGGGTATGTACAGAGTACAGCGTATATACCATCTACAATAACCGAAGGGGAGGAGTTATCGCTCGATACAGTCTTGTCGATTGCAATCCGTCTGGAGTAGGGATTACGACGGATATAATTACCCAGAGATAGATCATGGGAATTCGCTAGATGGATCATGGGACTGGAATTTGTTACTCAGATCCGAACAAACCCCGCTAACAGAAACGCCGTTAATACCGACTCATTCTTACTTGAGGCGTCACCGTGTGAGCCACGAGTTAGACAAGAGTCCAGAGGAAGCGACAGCGGAAGTAGTAGCGAAGACCTTGGAGAAGAGCCCACTTATCGATTACGAGTACCTGAAAATACCAACAGAGGCAGAGTTAATAGCAGACATACGACGAATGATAGAAGGCGATGGAGAAGATCCGACAGAGTTGCACATAGCGGAAGGCCCGGTAGACCTACCAAGACATATTCCCAGAGTCCGACACACAAGAGGAAGAGGAAAGAACGTTCTCCCCAGCTGGAAGCATCTCAGACGAGGACGGATATAGTAGCTGAAGAAAGTTTGAAAGGAGAGGCATTGATTCAATATGAAATAGAAGAGTTGGGAGTAGAGAGTGATAGTAGTAGTAGCAATGAGTTGTTAGAAAGATGTAGTACGTTTAGAAAAAAATGGGACGATGGAAAATTTCGACTAGCTGACGCATATTCCTTAGGCGAATCGATAGATCTTAGTACTAATCGCAACATTGAGCTAGCAAGAAAGAATTTGGGAACATATTGGTTTAAAGTCGCTATAATCGCTTATACCATTAACGAAGGAGCAAGAAGACTTACCGTTTGAGCCGCTAACCGCACGCCAGCTATTTTTCACCACGCACATGGGTGCTGGACGTATCAACAGACATCGATTGCGGCGGCATCGCAGAAATAATCAGTAAAGAAGAAATATCCCGATAGTATACCTACTAGGACGGGTAAGCGTCACGTTGGTGCTGACAATACAAACACCTCTATTTTGAATCTATTACCGTGGTGAATAATTCGGTGTATTTGTTTTTAAAAGACAATGGGGAAAACTTGTAGCGTAGTTTCAATGGGAAGATTTTTGCATTGTGAGCGTTAGTACAAGTGTGTGCGATGTAACACAATAAATGTTTCGAGTTTCGAGGTCTTTATTTGGGTGTGCTGTTTTTGAGTTTTATGTTCCGAGATTGCTTGGAAAATCATTCAAACTATGTCGTCCGCTCCAGGTGTTGTTAAGGATATTCATAATCCAG